GCACACCTGTTCTGATGTGGAACAAAAAGGTCAGTGTGTAGGAACACTTGGTATTTACACTGGCAGAGTGCAGTGGGCAAGCAGAACTTGTGTAAGATGCTGGAGTAATTACTTTAGATACTTTAGAAATCCATCTAAGGATAGGAGAAATATTAACATGAATAAATATACACTTAATTCATGGAGCCTCTAAAGTTGTCAAATGTGTATGAAAGCAACTGGACAGTTGTGATTGCAGATGGAACCCCTATGGCTGCCCCCTTTTCAGATAAGGGCAACAAAGTGATGGATCTTCCTTGCAGTGGCCACAGCAGGTAGAAAGGAAAGGAAATGCCTTAAGGCCTGCTCAGACAGGATACCATGGGTGAACCCATGGTATCCTGCCTCTAGTTCTGACCCATATTAGTCCCTGGGGTAGAAAAGCAATGGGCAAGTGTTTACATGCCCGCCTGCTGCTGCACTATAGAGCCATTGCCACTGTATGCCCCTTACCTGCTGTCACCTTTGCATCTTCTCTGAAGGTACCCGTTGTGGCTCATAAGAGTTGAAACGGGGCACCTGGCTACACCCACATGGCCAGGGGACTCCATTCAACCTCACAGGCTACAACTGGGGCCTTCAGAGAAGATCTGATGGTGACAGAAGTTAAGGGACACATGAGGCACATGTGGTGTGCTGGTTGTCACCGCAGTTTTTTCAAGAAACTCTCTCAAACATCCAGTCCTTTTGCCCTATGCTAAGGCACCTCTGGGCTGCCATCAGTATGGGACTGCCAGATTGGCATCCAGACTGACTGATGCTTGATTGGGGCTATTGTCCTGTGTCATCCATACAGGATGACATGAAGCTGAGGGGAACACAGGACTTTTTCTTTTGTATTGTAAATTGCCAATTTGCAAGGTGGTCACTCTAATTTCAGATATTTTTTAGATCATTGATTGAACCATATCAACAAAAAGTGTGGAAATTTCAAGTGCTGAACTCTGGGCCATCATGAAGTTTCTATTCCTGTACAAAAAAAGTACATGAGTGTATAATGCAAACACTGAGTGAGTGACAAGAGCCTATCATATTCAACTATGAAGAAGTGGTGTACCATCTTTCAGCATAGCAGTTTTGAGACCAAAGATGCACCAAGGTCTGGGACACCTTGAACAGTGTCAGCTCCTAAAATTGGATCCATAAACCCATTAGTGCAGGGGTAGGCAACCTTTCCCCTTTAAGGGCCGAGGGACTTCAGCTCCCAGAATCCCAGGAGCTATTGGCCAACATGGGACTATTGGCCAACATGGCTGAGGCTTCTGGGAGCTGAAGTCTCTCGGCCCTTAAAGGGGAAAGGTTGCCTACCCCTGCATTAGTGCATTGGGTTTATAACTCATGAGCAGTTGTCTATGGAGAAGCTTTCAGCCAAGTGGGTACCAAAATATTTGAATGCTGACCAGAAACAAAATCAAGTGGATATCTACAAGCTGATTTTGTAGCATTTTGAGTAATCTAGTGGTAATTTCTTGGAACAACTTGTCACTTTTGAGGAAACATGGTTACATCACTATGATCCAGAGACCAAACAATAGTCTTTGTAGTGGTGGCACTTGGGTTTTCCATGGCCAAAGAAGTTAAAGACTCAAAGGAAAGGTCATGGTCAGTTTTTGGGATACGAAAGGTATTTTGATTGATTACTGATATCTTCAGAAAAGCCAAACAGTTAATACAGAATATTATTCTAACTTGCTGTGCCAATTAAAGGAGGCACTGAAGTAAAAGCAGTGAGGGAAGCTGTGGAAAAGTGTTCCCTTTTTTGCAGAACAATGCACCTGATCATAGGGCTGGCAAGACAATGGATGTTTTGAAAAAATTGAAGTTTGAGTGCACAGACCATCCATCCTGCTCACCAGATCTTGCTCAGTTTGACTATTTCCAGTTTCCAAATCTTAAAAACAGTTTGAAAGGAAGAAAAAAATTGAATCATTCAGGGGTGATAACAGCAGCAAAGAGTATTTCAATGAACAGACACCAGATTTTTTTTAAATTTTAATTTTTTTATTATTATTATTAATTTGGAATGGTTAAAGAAACTTGAGAAATTATGTGCCAAGTGTGTTGAACATCAGGATGAATATGTTGAATAGCATGTTTCATGGATCTAGGTTATTCTCTTCTTAGTTGGGCCTACAACTTTTCAGCACCCTCTTATATAAGGTCCCCAAATGTTGGAAACCTTCCTGTTAGTAATTTATACAGGCATTAAGATGATCTTACACCTCTGTATGTCTTCTTCTTCTTCAGTGTAGATGTTGATATTTCCTTCTTCCCTCTGCAGCAACTGAAGTCTCCTCTCACAGATTCTGTGGCAAGTGGAGGGTGGTATCAGAAAAGCATCTGACAATGTCACTGTAGCCTCAAGCAAAATTATCATGTTACCCACTAACACCTCAGTAGGAGGACCCTAGCAGATCTTCTGAACTTTAGCAGATGATGCAATCATTTTACATTTGGCTATGTGGACATATCCAGATACTCCTCCAAACTCCCACCCATGATCTCCACCATTCATTTAATGGCTTTGGGGGAGCTGCAGTGGCTCTAAAGTAACTGGGAATCAGCTAAAGGCCAGATGTAGACTTCCTCAGCACAGAGCATTACTAGAGGGTGCAAGGGGTTCAGAATACACTAGATGACACCCAAAAGGGGAGTGACAATCACTGATCCTTAAACATCTGTGTTTTGGCAGTAACAGGCCATGGCATTCACCCTTTAAAATGTTGAAGTGGTGGTGTAAATGGGGTAAGGCTAAGTGGAAGAAGAAAGGTGAGGCCTCAGGTTTTAAAAAAAATAGAATTTAAAACATTAATTTTTTAATTTTTATTTAAAAAAATTAAATTTAAATGTTTTATTCTTTTTACATATTCTTTAAAAACATCACATCTTACCAAATTTTCACTTTAACCACATGAAACTATGTACATGTAAATACATTTAAGCAGAGGCTGGATGGCCATCTGTCAGGGATGCTTTGATTGGGAGTTCCTGCATGGGAGGGGTTGGACTGGATGGCCCTTGTGGTCTCTTCCAACTCTATGATTCTATGATTCTATGATTCTATGATTAAGCTGTGCATATGCTATTGTAATTCAAAGGTATAATTTTTATTCTGCTAGTTGTTTATGCCATTTTTCTGCAAGTTTGTTCTCTCTCAATGAGAAGGAATCTTGTAAAATAATTCATTCTTGGATGTGAGACCAAAGTAAGCGGAGATTAACAATATTATTCATAAATAATTAAAATAATTACCCTTTTAGTCGCTATAGTGCTAGCAGAATTCTATAATGCTTACATCCCAGAGAGAGAGTGATGTTATACTTCATTAAGTTTTATTCACAGAATTACTTAGTTATGTCTTGTCTATTACAAAAAAACACATTTGCAACTATTTACATCTCAGCTCTGGGGGACTATGTTCAATTGATGGACTACTGGCCAACTTCTGATTGACTCCCTGGTCAGAGCTGGTATTCAAATAAAGAATCTGGGAGTAGTTCAACCTCACTGTCAATTTTTCTAGGTGCTTGACTGAAACTGTGTGTGTGTGCATGAGTGAGTGCGTGCGTGCGTGCGTGCGTGCATGTTCACGCACATGTGAGCCTTCAAGTCGCCAATTGACATAGAGATTCCCATAAATTTCATAGGGTTTTCTTTAAAAAAAGAATCCTCAGAGGTGGCTTTGACAGATCCTTCCTTTGAAATATAGTCTGCAGCACCTGGTATTCTTTGACAATTTCCCATCTAGCTTCCAAGATCAGATGAAATCTGATGCCTTTAGGATCTTTAGGCCTAGAGTTTGACAGAGATTAACCACTGTTTAATGTTAAGGAGATTTGTTATGATAATTTAATGGTATCCTCCATATTCAAAAACACTGCATGTACAAACACCAAAAATCTGTCATATCAGCCACTACAATCTGCACAAAAAATTTGACCTAAACCCAGAAACATTGGTTTTGAAACAAGAATTTAGATCCATTAATAGGATGCATTGCAGTGTGGTGATGTGATGGCAAAGCCAGGGTATAGTCATAATCAGACCATGATTTGTTAAGTGATTGGAAATATAAAATTCTAGACATGCACAGAGTCTGTCTTCCCTCCTAGTGTATCTGGAATGTAGATGTTGCATAGAATGGAAAGGAGGTGGGAAGGCAATTATTTTGTGATTTTGTGTTTCACTTCTAAAGTATGTGAAACAACACACTTTATCACATAAAGGGGGCCCTGTAAAAACATTAGATGTCCAGAGTCCAAAATTTCATAACTGTACTACTGACCTGACTTCAGATAAGTGACAGTCACTACATCAACATCCAACAGCTGCAATTCATTTTTCACAGAGGTCAATGTTTTCAGTGAGCAGCCCAGGGTGGTGAACAAAATTCCCTTATGGGTGAAATAGGTCATAACTGATATGGAAAAACCATACACACATATGAGAAAGAGAGAGAGATTATGATGCAGCATCTTTAATGCTTTACTGAATGGGTTCCCACCTGCAACACTTTCAGTAGGTAGTACAGAAGTTTAAAAGTTAGTTCAGAAAGGTTATTCATTATATAATATTTTTGGGAAAGGAGAGAAAATATAATTCATTATCCATAATTTAGTAACTTTTTTGTGCTTCTTACTTTTCCACTGCTTTTGTTATCCAAATAAGTATCTTAAACCTGTCCAGAAAAGGTTTTGTCAAAATGCCTTCAAATTTCTAAAATGCCATTTCCACGCTCTGAGAAGGTTACCATGCACATCCTAATACACAAGGTTCTTAATACATAGAATATTTATAATATCAGGTATCAAATCTCAAAGTCTTTGTTGTTGTGTGCCTTCAAGTCATTTCCGATTTACAGCAACTCTAAGGCCAGCCTATCACAGGCTTTTATTTTCAAGGTTTGTATTTCTCTTTCTTTGAGAGAGTATGACTTGCTCAGGTCACCCAATGTGTTTCCATGTCTAAGCTGGGATTCCAACCCTGATCTCTAGAGTCATAGTCTAATGCTCAAACCACTACACCACACTGAGTCTCACCAAATCTCATAATTGTTGAATAGCTAATTCTACTTCCCATCATTTAAATGACAGACCTAAGGCCAATGCTGTAGCTCTCTAAACTGAGGCCATTATGTTGAGTTTGTTAATAGAAAATTTTAAATAAAAATAGGACAAGGAGGGACATGGTGGCTTAGCAGTTAAGGCACTGACTCTGATGCCCACGAAGTTGTCAGTTCAGAAGTTCGAGACCCAAACTCAGCGTGACAGAGTAAGCTCTCATCCCTAGTCCCAAATTCTGCCAATCTAACAGTTTGAAAGCATGTAAAAGTGCAAGTAGATAAATAGGTACCACTTTGGTGGGAAAGTATTCCATGTGCCTTAGCATTTAGGACTGATGCAGATTGGCACTTTAGGCCAGCCTAGGGGTGGAGCTGGGGTGGGGCAACAGCACGCCGGTCGCCCCGACTCTGCTCCAACACCACACACCCGACTGCCTGGTGTGTGGCGTCAGGATACATGGCATCAGGGCACCTACCAAAGGGGTGCAAAAGAGCCATGGCAGTGGCTATAAGGGTGGCAAAAAGGAGGATCAGGGCCATGGCAACCACACACCCTATATTAGACATGACTAGACAATCATGTCAAAGGGGAAACCTTTACCTTAAAAACAATTGTATAGCCAATTGGGAAAGCTCCCAGTCCCATTTATACACATTCTACATATTGCTTGGGAATAGTTCTGACACTGTGAGCCTCTGATTGCCATTCATTGAATTATTTTACAAAGCTGAAAATATCGCAAAGGCATTTCTTAATCTACTATCATATGTCCCATTGATTTCCAGGCTTGGGTCAGTGGTTCCAGTGGGCCATTCCAGAACATAAAGCAAGTCTGATGAAAAGAAGGATACCTTTGGTTTGATGTCTATGAAGCACATGGCAATCCTTGTTCCTAAAACAGATACAAAAACCCCACTGTGGCCCCAGAAGATTCCCTGCTCACTTCAAAATTCAGTCTGTCTGCCTCACACTCTGCTGTCAACAACTTATGAAATTCAATCTCTCTCTCTCTCTCTCTCTCTCTCTCTCTCTCTCTCTCTCTCTCTCTCTCTCTCAGTCTTTCTCTTCTATTGCAGGAGCAAATCAGCTGATCTACAAGGTCAATAAAAAAACCTGAGTAAACAAGTCAGCCCGTGCCATGAATATACAATTTAAACAATAATACATAAAAATAAAGAGAGAGAGAGAAAGCAGAAGAGAAGTAGGTTAACAGAAGTACAAAGTAATCCTGATAAAATGGAAGGACCTCAGGGACAGGAGGAAGGAATGGACCTAGCAGCTGAGATCTTGCATCCTCACCAAAGCCTAACACTCTGCCTGCACAGTTGTATTAGGGTGTCATACACAAAAGGCAGTTACCCAATATGGATGGTGCCCATACAGCCATTTGCTGGCTGGTAAGGACACAGGCAATCTGGACAGCATTCAGCAACAAGTCTGCCACTGGCAGAAAACACCAACTGTTGCCCTTCAAAAACTCCAGCAACTATTTGTTTCTCCAGCAAATACTTGTTTCATCATCATCTGCATCCTGCCTACTCTCCAGAAATAGTGATCAAGGTGGCTTACAAATCAAAACAAATACAATATACAGCCGTCCCTCCATTTTTTTTGGACTATGAGTCCACGATCTCACTCTTCATGGGAGGGACAAGCAGGGAGGGATAAAATCGCGGCACGGATTCACACGCAGCCCCACATGCACACCATTATTTTCAATGGGGCTCAAATATTTGTGAGTCGCCATTTTCACTGGAGGAGAGTCTGAAATGGATCCCCTGCAAATTGGGAGGGGCTACTGTAGTTAAACCACACAGAGGTCAACATTAAAATGGAATTAAACTAATAATAACATTGGAAAGTTTGAAAGATAAAGTGAAGAGTGTAATATTACCAAAAAACCAAAGAAAGGGGTTATGCCAAAAGAATAAAACCAACAATGCCTCACCTTACTTCAAAAACAAAAATGTAAGGGGACTTCTGGCTGGTTATGGCACCCTGAAGGGACCGCCCGCGGGAGTTCTCCGTGGTCGGACTCGTCTTCTGGGAGACTTGGTGTTCAGGAAGTCATTTTTGAACACCAGAATATACCTCCTAGGTATAGGGGGGTCAGAGGGGACTCGACGGAGGTCTAAGATCTGACTAGTGCTGAGGCTGAGTTGGCAATCGCAACTTGGAGGAGCCAAGGCATAGTTGGTGGGGACCGAAGAGCAATCCACAACCCTGAAACTGACAGTGAAGATTCACCCAGGGGTGCCGCCAGTCCTTTTTAATCTATAGAATTATGATTTTGTAATGCTTGAAGGTAAGCTGCTGCTGTGAGACATACTTTATAACTGAAGATTAACATCTCAGAAAAGAATGCCCTTAAAAAACACTTGTAGTTCAAAACAAGGACAAATTAATAAAAGGGTAACATTTACCCCACTAAAGGATCTGCAAATGAAGAAAAAGGTAAAATGAAAATTCATAAACCAAGGCCAAATGCATTTTGACTCCTGTCTTCCTCAGTGGCCTATGAACATTTAATTTATATATGTATTTATTTCACAGCTCACACAATGTGACTCTGCACTATTCCAAAGTAATAATGTGGAAAAGATTTCTAGATGACATATTTTGTATATGGGTGGGTTCTGAATCTTCTTTGAAACAATTTTTGGTTTTTCTTAATGGTATCTATGGAAGCATCAAATTTGATATGGTGTATAACTCTAGCACAGTGAATTTTCTAGATATAAATATTCAACTAAATAGGGAATCATTTGAAATGAACTTATATAGAAAACCAAAAGATGTCAATTCATTTTTACGATATGACAACTATCATCCGACACCTCTTAAAAATAACCTCCCATATTCACAGTTTTTACGTATCAGGCGTAATTGCAAAACACTGGAGGGATATGAAAGGGAATCGAACATTACATGCGTCCAGTTTTTGGAGAAAGGATATCCCTTGAAGGTTATAAAAGAGGCACAAGATAAAGTTCGAAAGTTGGATAGAAGGAAACTTCTGTTTGATTCCAAACCCAAGAAAGCACCTGAAAGAGTGGTCATACCACTGACTTTTAACACATATACACAGAGGGTCAAGGAAAGCATATTGAAACATTGGTACTTGCCGGAGAATATACCCGGATATAAAAACAAACCGATGTTTGCCCATAGATGTACTCAAAATATTAAGAATATATTGGTACGAGCAAACTTTAATTTTCCAACTATCCAAAATAATTTGAATGTCAAGGGACATTACATCTGTGGACATTGCTCGGTATGCAAACATAGCAGTAATTTAAAATGTTTTGTGAATACTGCAGACGGGAGAAGTTATGAGATATACAAGTTCTTTACATGTGCAAGTAAGAATGTTATATACGTAATTGAATGCCCTTGTAAACTCCTTTACGTGGGTTGTACCAGCAGGGAAATTCGTACGCGAATAGTGGAACACAGAAGTTGTATTAAAAATCATAGAATGGAGGCTCCATTAGTTAAACACTTCCTGGATGAGCAACATACTTTAAATTCATTCAAATTTTGGTGCATAGATGGGATACCAAACATTAAAAACATAAAACAATTACAATTATTGGAATTGAAATGGATTCATTGGTTGAAATCTGAATCACCAATTGGTTTAAATGAAAATGTGAACTGGTTAATTTGAGTTTTTCAAACATCTCTCCACACCCTAGGTTTTCCCTTAGTTTCTTCTTAAGTCTTTACAGCAGGGACCGGCAACCTACGGCCCGGGGGCCGGTTAAGGCCCCAGGCCCCAGACTTACCGGCCCCGTCCTAAGGCTGCCGCCATCGCTGCCGCCGCGCGCCACCGCTATCGGGGCGCATTTTCAGCCACGCTTGTCGTGACCACCATTTTGGAAGTCAAAATGGCGGCCGCGGCGTGTTTGCGCATGCGCAATTCTCTTGCGCATGCGCAAACATGTCGCAGCCGCCATTTTGACTTCCAAAATGGCGGCCGCACATGCGCCGTGGCAGCTGCGGCCGTGAGCGCTATGGCAGTGGCCGCGGTAGTGGCTACGGCGGCAGCGTGCGCGCGGGAGTCGTGCACGGAGGAGGAGGGCGTGTGCGCGCGCGCTCCTCCATTCCCCCCCCTTGGCCCAGCCAAGCGGCAACCTTTTTGAGACCGGCCCAGGTCTCAAAAAGGTTGCCTGTCCCTGCTTTACAGGATATCTACCACCACTAGTCTGGTTGATCCTGATAAGTGAAGCTAAGAGTAGCAGCAGGTTTTAATTGAAGTATTGTTCTACATTGAGTAGTTGAACTATCTACAAATATATAAATCTAAAGATATAATATCTATGAATGGTTAAACAACAAGGGAGTCACAGTTTGTTATCTGGATCCCTGGTGGGCTTATGTAAAAAAGACTTATTGTTTGAATTGTTAACTGCCCTTCCACATTCTAAGGTTTTCCTTTTGTATTAAGTCTTGACTGGATTAGTTTCTTCACCAGCATGGTTGGTTATATAAGAGTCTCTGGAAGCAGGAGGAGCACATTATTACTTTGGAATAGTGCAGAGTCACATTGTGTGAGCTGTGAAATAAATACATATATAAATTAAATGTTCATAGGCCACTGAGGAAGACAGGAGTCGAAATGCGTTTGGCCTTGGTTTATGAATTTTCATTTTACCTTTTTCTGCATTTGCAGATCCTTTAGTGGGGTAAATGTTACCCTTTTATTAATTTGTCCTTGTTTTGAACTACAAGTGTTTTTTAAGGGCATTGTTATTCTTTTATAAATTTAGCCCTTGATTTTTTGTGCCTTTTATTTCATTTTATTATTGGCACGAGATTTAGTGGGGTACTTTTACCCTTTTAGTATTAGAGGCATTTCTGCTCCAGGGTTTTGTTATTTCTTACATTATTGT